GCCACAATGCCCGGCTATTTTTTGGTTTCAGCTGTCATTGTTGTTTGGCAGGCCCGGGCTGGATTCGAACCCGCCAGCTCAGGTGTATGGGGCTGGCGCCTTAGCCACTTGAGCCACAGGCGCCGAGCTGTTCGTGTGCAATTTTAAATACTTGACTATTTTAAATTGCATACAAACTTTATGGATACCCTATATAATTCCATAATCAGCTTTTTCCTTTTGACAGTTTATCTTGGACATATTTCATGTTGGTATATAGAGAGATACTTCATTCTTTTTATTAACTACAAACTATTTCACCATGTGAATGTACCAAAATTTATGTAATCAGTCCCCTACTGATGGACATTTAGATGGTTTCCAAATGTTTTTCCTATTAGCAAACAGTACTACAGTGAGTATACTTATTGGTATGTGTGTATGTGTATATATCTTTGTACACGTATACAAGTATATCTGTAAGATGAATTCCTTGAAGAAAAATCACTGACTCAAAATGTGCATGCATTTAAAATTTTGGTAGAGGCTTAGCACCTGTGGCTCAGGTGGCTGAGGTGCCAGCCACATACACCTGAGCTGACGGGTTCGAAGCCAGCCCGGACCCACCAAACAACGATGATGGCTACAACCAAAAAATAGCCGGGCATTGTGGCAGGTGCCTGTAGTCCCAGCTACTTGGGAGGCAAAGGCAGGAGAATCGCTTGAGCCTAGGAGTTGGAGGTTGCTGTGAGCTGTGATGCCACTGCACTCTACCCAGGGCGACAGCTTGAGGCTCTGTCTCAAAATAAATAAACGAATAAAAATAAAATAAAATAAATTTTGGTAGATGATGTCCAGTTGTTCTCTAAAAAGTTTATACTAACTTATACTTGAACCAAAAACAAGAATGCTGCTTTACTCACACCTTAGTAAATACTCGGTGTTATTTATCTTATTAATCCTTGGCTGACTGGTAAGCAAAAAACAATATATCATTATTTTGATTTGCATTTCTTAGTTGTTTCTTTCTCTTTTTTTTTTCTTTTTTTTGTTTGAGACAGCTTCAAGCTGTTGCCTTGGGTGGAGTGCTATGGCGTCACAGCTCACAGCAACCTCCAACTCCTGGGCTTAGGCAATTCTCTTGCCTCAGCCTCCCAAGTAGCTGGGACTACAGGTGCCCTCCACGAAGCCTGGCTATTTTTTTGTTGTAGTTTGGCCGTGGCCAGGTTTGAACCCACCACCCTCAGTATATGGGGCTGGTACCCTACTCACTGAGCCACAGGCACCACCCTTATATTAGCATTTTAAGTAATTTTATTTCGATGTATTCCAATATATCAGCTTTCATAATATTTTGTGACTGATGGTTTTATGTTATAGAAAGCCATCATTTGGTTCCAAACTACTTTTATTTAAATTCTGTATTTCTTTTTCTGGTACTTTTATAGCTTCATTATATTTACTCATGTATCATGATAAAACACACATAACAAAATGTACTGTTGTAACCATTTTTAAATGTACCATTTAGTGAGTTTGTGCAACCATCACCAGTATCCATTTCCAGAACATTTTCTTTTTTTT